CGATCAAATTAGAAGAGAGAAAAACAGGAGAAAAGAATGCCCATTAACCTAGCTTCTTAAAATTATTATTAAATGGAATTTATTATCAGGGTAATTTTTATTGTTTTGATGAAACTATAGGCTTTTTAGAGGTAAAATCAAAAGGCAACAACAAAACAGAGACGAAAAGATAAACTTAGCAATAAAATTAAGTACATGTAGCGGGTTAAACCATCTACTTCTGGTTCCGATTCCAAGGCTATCTTGGTCTACTTTTTTTCCTTACGCCTGTTACCCTTCGTCGAGAAGTAAGGATCGCCAACAAGCGTTCTGCATCCAATTCTGTCCTGGACAATCCTTTCCGTTTGTTTCCAGCTGCTACTTATCATTTTGATGTCTCCTTCCGATTCTCGATGCAATGTGTTCCTTAGTCTTTCTCTTTTTCGTTTCCCTTCACGATTTCAAGTTAGCGTTCGCCTCGTGATGCAGTTTGGTGATTTCCTCAATGTATATCCTATCCACTTCCAACATCTCTTCCTAATTTCCTCTTCAGATCGAAATTAGTTTGTTCTCTCCCACAAAAGGCTGTTATTGATGGTATCCGGCCAATGGATGTTGAGTATCCTGCGTAGACAGCTATTTATAAATACTTGTACCTTCTTGATGGTGGTTGTTATAGTTCTGAAAGTTTCAGCTCCGTAGAGTAGAACTGCCTTGACGTTCGTATTGAAGATTCCCACTTTGCTATTGGTTGACAGTTGTTTTGAGTTTCATATATTCTTCAATTGTAGGAATGAGGCCCTCGCTGTGCCGACCCTTGCCTTTAGGTCTGCATCAGATCCTACATGTTCATCGACGATGCTACCCAGGTACTTGGAACTTTCCGCCTCTTCCAGAGCTTCTCTATCAAGTGTGATTGGTTTGGTTGATGTTCTCCGCGTTGCATTTGAGGATCTTGCTTTTCCCTTGTGTATGTTGAGGCCTACTGATGCAGAGGCTGATGCTACACTAGTTGTCTTCATCTGCATTTGTCGATGTGTATAGGATAGAAAGGCCAGGTCATTTGCCAAGTCCAAATCTTCTAATTGATTTCAAGCTGTCTATTGTAATTCGTGTTTCCTCTCAGATGATGGAAAGTGTATAACTTGAAATATACTAAGTTTCCAAGGTTCAAACGCATGTCAGTGAAAAAGAATGATGCACAACAGTGCACCAATTCATGTTATCAAATCTCTTAAGAAATAAAAAATGTATAAAAATAACTTAGATAAACAAAAAGGATGTAACAGGACTATATTAACAGGGAAATATATAGCGTTTCAAATTTACACGGATATATGCGCGCTGTCATAGTGTGAATATTACATCATTCAAGTGCTTCAGCTGATAAATGTTTCTAACCTACATAGGTTTACTTACTCAAGATGCCCATAACTTTACGCGCGAGATTATTGAAGGTATTAGGTCGAAAAGGTAAACCGATAGATGAATTAATGGTCCTATGGTGATTAAATTGAAGGGCAATCCCAATCACCATTTTCCTAGAAATACGATACTATATAGCATATGTGTAAGTAGGATAAAAAAAATACTAAAATAGGACAGATCAACGGATGACATCAGCTCTGAGTCACTGACCATCGTTGTGAGCAGTGTTGGGAAGTATGGACTTCTTAATGGAGGTTTATGAATTGACTCTAATCTACGGTTGGAGACCTTAGGTGACATGATTTACAATCTTTGTCAGTGGCTCAAATACCTTCATTTTACATTTTCCCCTGAATATTCACATTTAATAGTATTTTTCACTTTTCATTCCTATTATTTATTTGTTTTTTAGGAATTCTACGTCCGATGTTGGATTGGTTACTGAGCTTGCTAGTATTATTTTAACTAAAATGCATTTAATTTTGTTAATTTCCACTCACTGGATTAGTATCGAGTGTGGAAAATCGGGTTGATGTAAATCTATGTCGGATTACAAGTTGCTTATCATTGACTCCAGTGACAAGTGCTCTATAAAGACCATTACAAATGGAATTTAGTCAGGATCATTAGAAATAAATCTAACACTAAACCAAACAGCTATATAGTTTTTTTAAGTTCCACAAGCAATTCAGCTGAATAACACAGCAGTCAACATTTCAAGCACATTACCTAATATTAATTTTTAATCCCGATTAAGCATTTATGTCTTCAGCTGATTACCGATAGTTTTAAGTGTTTCAAGAAAGTGTAGAGTGACTTCTAAAAACTTCTTTGAAGGGTAAGTCACTTTATGGGATTTCATTTTAACTTACTTATGTTCTTGTTCAATGATGCTTTGAATTTACGGAGACACAGAGATTAATACATTTCTCGTAAGTTAACATTGTCACCTAAGCCATTCAAAATATTTCAGATTATTTTAAGCGTCTTCATTCAATGGATTAATCATACTAGGTAGAAAAATCAATCCTTAAAAAAGTCAAATAAATGCCATTAATCCTTTTGAAGGCAGAAAAAATAAAACGAATTTAATAAACACTACATCAGCTGATTTATCTATTTTTTTTGTAGGACTTGTTAGTTTCCCTACTTTATTGATAGATGAAAACAACAAAATTTCTAGTAGTCAAGACTAGCCAATGAATAAAGAGTATTTATGTCACAGTTGATTGGTCCATTTAATTTAGGACATGAAGTCGAACGATAAAGCGAAAACAACAAAAGGGAACATTTTGGCACTGTGCCAAATTTTTTGACATCGGATGATTTCCTTTCACTTTATTTTCTCTTTCATACGCACACAAAGCACACGAGGTACACATTTATTTGTCACTTTTACTTACGGAAGGAATTGGAAGAAAACTCATCAGGATGAAAAAACATTGACAGCAATCTGTACGAAGTAGATTGTAATTAGGAAAATTTCAAAAAATAATGTAATGCCGTTCGGTATTTTAAATATTGTTGCTGTGCTAAAAACAAAAATATATAATCCCTTCCCTCTACATCTTAGTAGCGTCCGTAAATTTTCCGCTATTCTGAACGCTTTCAAGCATTATAGATAGAATTAATAGATGTAGTTTAACGGTGTTTTGTTAATTTTATAACTTAATATTGAGATGAAATATATTTCAGTGAATGAGTCCCAATCGAAGCGAAGTAACAATATGATAATCCGGTGAATTTCAGTTTACACAAATTATTGTATTGAAACAATTTCAAAACAATTAAGAATTTAAGTGTCGTTACAAAATCCGTTATGTCAGAATAAGAAAAATAATTAATGATTTAAGTAAAACTCACTAAATTTGTCTATGTTGAGAGTTACATACTACATTATTATAGATCGGGTCAAGGTCATCTTTTAATTTTAAGATATGATTATTGTTGTTAAATTATAAAAATCACAAAATCATTCTACACTTCATATAAAGTTCCGAATCATATTACAGTTGATTCAAATGAAATTTCTATTTGGGAATCAGTTACTGAAGTTATAGATGTCAATCGTTGAGAATAAGTGAGGCACTTGTTGCTTTCATCTAGTCAGTTCCTACTACAATGTGCTATGTTGTTTTACTTAAATTCTATTCGCGACGGCAACGGTTTCTTCTCTGTTAGGTTCAAGCCATACATGAAGGTACAAGCTACCTAACAAGAATGTTTAAAGTAACTGAAGCGAAGCTTAAAATGACATTAATTTATATGGCATAAAATCGGTTAGTCACACAGATCAGTCATTATTTTTTATTTTCATATTCTAAATATTACTATACCTCTATCTTTTACTATTCTTGGTACCGTCATTTTTATACCATTATTATTCTTATTTCTTATTTCCATCTCCTCCTGATAACGTGAAGCAGGGTAGCTTTGAATATTAAATTTTATGTTGTCTCTATCTTTGGGTAGGGGGAAATATTAGAAATACTATCTATACATATATAATCTATAATTAGTAAATGCAAGTTGTTGCTTCAGGACTGACCTGCGTCAACACCTGAACTAAGGATAGGGAGTGAAGTAGTCGAACGCGTTGACAACTTCACTTATATTGGAAGTCTGATCAGCCCTAATGGGTTGGTGTGTGACGAAATCAGCACGGATTCGAAAAGCTCGCCTGGCTTTTGCCAACTTACGTGACCTATGGCGAAGGCGAGATATCCGTTTATCAATAAAAGGACGAGTATACTGCGCGGTAGTCCGTTCTGTTTTAATTTACGGCAGCGAAACATGGCCTTTAAGAGTAAAAGACACCCGTAAGCTACTAGTATTTGACCACAGATTTCTTAGAAATATTGCTGACGTCTGTTGGGATCACCGGGTAAGTAATAGTGAGGTTAGACGCAGGGTATTAGGGAACGATGCTAAATCAGTTGATGAGGTTGTTAATCTTCATCGACTGAGATGGTTGGGCCACGTGTTACGTATGCCTGAACACCGATTACCACGACGTGCAATGCTAACGGGTGTTAGAGATGGTTGGAAGAAAGTTAGGGGCGGCCAAACCAAGACGTGGCATCAGTGCTTGAAGTCACTAACTTTTAGTCTGAGTCATGTTGGTAGATGCAGACTGCTTGGTTGGGGTCCGCGTGACTATCGTAACCGATGGTTGGAGACTCTTGGTGACATGGTTCAGAATCGATCACAATGGCGTAGGTGTATACATTCTCTGTCTTCCCTTAAACTAAGAGATAAAAATCGCTTCATATCTTTCTTTCTACGAACTAATTCTTTCTTCCTGTACTGTATCCTTATATGCAATCTTTCTCCTATGTATTACCACCTTTGACCTAACCACTCCTATGAATCCGGTGTTCATCTTGCTGTGCTAATGCGGTATGGCAACCTGGACCGATGCATATATGTGCCTGGTCCTACGTTGTAGCTGACTGACTGAATTAGTAGTTTTTATTGGTTAAAAGTTAAATAACCATTATCTCACTACATATTAAAATATTAAATAGTATTTATAAATAAAAATAACGTTTTGCCCCTGTTAATAAATATTTGTTATGTTTCAGATAACTTACTGCGTTCACAATGATCCGAAGATAATGATCGACTAGTTGAACCTCTTGAACAACGATGTGATGTTAGTGAATCACAGGGTCTACGACGTATTGGTAGTGGTGGAGATAAAAGTAATGTCTTTGGAATATTAGTCGGAGTAGCCTCTGGTTTACAAGACAAATGATGTTTAACTACATGTGGATGTGTCATATTATTCAATAAGTTCCCATCCGCTGAAGATTTATGGCATAAATGGTTACAATTGATAACATGCCGAGTATTCTTTGATCTGTGTATTTGTTGTGGTGACAATAATGGTAAAACTTTACTTCGGACATGTGGTTCAAATGATAACGATAAAAAAGACGAGGATTGTGTTGACGGTTGAATAATTGAGGTCATGAATAGACCAGTTGTTTAGAACAAATTAATTTTCAACGGAGATTTCCCTTTGAAAGATTAAGTGATAGAAATGAAAACTTCTTTAGAAACATTAATATTCTGATTAAGAAGATGATGATGAAGGAAGCTTTGTAGCTTAACTTACACCTTCACATTGATCAGGATAAAAAGTAAATCCTACTAGAAATATAAATAAAAACGAAAAACACGAAAATTATTTAACTATTTAAAACAAAGATGAAAATGTCCCTATTGCATACTTTTTTGAAAATTATTCAGGTCTATCACTGACCGAAACTCCTGGTTTAATAACCACGGGTGAATATTATCGGTGTATATATAAGAAACAGAAATAACATTTTAAAACTATAAGGTATTAAAAAAAGTCCGATATAAATATTTGTTATTTTATCAATTTTAGGTTTAATAGTTAATCACTGCTAAAACATTAGAACTTTTTCTTCTTTAAACTACCTAATTTTGTATTTCTGGAGTTTTTCATCTGACTGAATCGGAATTATCTTTACTATTCTAATGGATAAGGATAACATCTCAAATACTGTTTAAACATGTTAATCGATGAGTAAGAATGGTTTTGTAAGTTACACATCGTAGAACTTCACATAGAACCGACTCAATGCCTTGGTTTCGCAACACCATTAGCTTTCTTCCAACCTTCTCCCACTCCAGTGAGCATCAACTGCTGAAGTAGGCAGTTAATCATAAAAAGTACGCGTCCCGTCCACCTCAGTTAATGAAGATTTACTACTTCATCGACCGATTTTACATCTTCCCCTAGTATCTTATGCCTAACCGCCCAGTCGTTTCATGATACTTAAACAATACTTCAGAGAAACCAATGTTATGAAACAGAAGCCAACACGTCTTTAGCTTCCATGAACCGTATTTCGTAGCCGTTAAGTAATACATAGTGGACTACTGCACACCACATATGGTTGACGCACTCAACTAATGTACACCCTACGATCAAACTAAGAAGTGGTGAAGGTCATTTATGGTGCAAAAATATGCATTGAGAGGGATGAAAACTCATCTCAAACATGGCTCTAAGAGATTATAAGATGGGATTTGTCAGCGCCTTTAAATAAGAAAATATCGTCTACTTGTCCTAAGCTGATAAGTGAATGTATGTAAGAGGATCAATTTTCAGAAAGTTAGATGACGTATGATTTTCAGGACGGTATTTTTCAAATAGCAGCATAAAATAAGGCAAATCGTACAGAACAGACTTTTTTCAAGTGAATATTGAGCAAGAAGAAGTAATAACTGGGGGAATATCATACAATACATACATGTTAATGATGAATTTCAACTCATTTTAAGGTAAAGATAGCGCAAGAGAGCTAAGAATCTATAAATCAAAGTAAGAGTTTAGTAAAAACCATTAGCTGTTATTAAACGAATCACTGTTCTTCCGTTAAGAAGTGATAACTATTTGCATACAATGAGGATTCCTATCGTTACACTGTTTTCCTCTCGGTTCGGTGATGTTTTATACCTCAAGTCCCGCTTCAATTTATCAACAGTGGTTAACTTGTGTTGCGTTTAAGGCTTGAAGAGCATCGAAATCGAGTTTTTTCCCTCGTTTAAATACGTGGCGTAGTTTATACGCTATAAGGCATGACACTAGCCTAAAAGACTGATATACCAATACATATCGTTCGACACAGGTTTAGACTATAGTTCGTTAACGTAAAAGCTCCATTGTCATATAATCAACCCCACAGATATCTTTTAGTCAACAATGAGTAAAATGAATAACCCAAAGGCCAGTTAAATAAAGGAAAAAATACTGAGAGATTTTGTCCTAGCAAGATTTAGACATTTTAATTTCTTTGATGAAAGTGTGATTAAACTGCCTAACCCTATTTCTTCACCTTTCTTCAGGAAGTAAAGTGATCTTAAGTTGTTGTTTCGCACCTTAAATGAACTGAGTGCTAACATGTCTCAATTTTTTTCTGCCTCTAGGATCAATCATATGTGAAACCATTTTAACAAAGTTAAAAAGCGTGATCGTAGGAACTCAAGGTGGGGGACCGTAATTACCAACCATTAATCAACATCTGGAACACTAGAGCGAAGTAACTGGCATTACTCTCTTCAGTGAATACCTGGTAGAAAAATCTAACTCTATGCAACTATGTACTGAAAGCATTAACGCAGGTCTACGAACCCACCATCAATCTGATTGCGGACTGAAATGGTTATTAAATATTCGAAACCAGATATCAAGAGTGCAAAAACAAGTGTTAAGTCGCTGTCAAAAGCTTATTTGCTATAAGGTCATAGAGATTTTGGGAGTAGTGATAAGGAAATTTCGGATAGTGACGCAAACTCATATCCTGATTGAGACTAGTGGGTACGGTACTCGTTAGACTGGTGTCAATTTTTAGATTGAATTTCTAAACTACTAGGAAAGTCTATTAGAAACCTGAGAATTTTTTCATCATGCCTTAGAAAAGATATGCGACAAAACTAGCTATCTTCTATTTGAATAACTTAAGGCTTGAATGTTAATGACGCAGCTTTTATTTTATAATATAGCTAACTAGTCAGTTAATTTTAATATAGATAAGGACTAGGTGAAGCATCTCGACTGTTGTTACAGCAGTTTTCTAAATTATCTTTTGTTTTTACCATTACTCAGTACTTAAAAAAATGGTAGTATGACTGGTATCATGGCAGCAAAATTAAGTATACTTGATTATAATCAACAATGAAAATATCCATACATAAACAAAAACATGGAAAGAGTATATTTTATCATTGGCTTTGAATTAGACAATGTGAAGGTTGAATACAGTTCAAAATCATTAATTAAAAGTAACTAACGTATAAACACCTGATTATAACCACTGCTTTCCCGTTCATTTTAATGTTTCCAACGTCATTAAGCTAATTATCACTCATGAGCCAAAGTTTTGCAGTTAAATATGGGCATTTAAAATTATAAAAACAATTGACACAATTGTTTATCAGTATGAAAAACAAGCCAACGCTACCTAGTGCAATATTTGAAAACGCGCAAAGTCACACCAGTTCACAAGGTTGTTAATTTGGCAACGTTTAAACTAGTTTTGTGAAAATTGAACTCAGCTTTTCTAATGCTGTTGACCTGCTATCGAGCTAAAAGGTTTATATGACGATGGTAAACATAGTTTTCGAGGACTTATTCACTCTTCTATTTTTCTTGTCAGTCTTTTTAACATAAATCTGATGTCAGAACATTCATTATTTTCACTAAGTTTGTTGCCAACTACAATGTTTATGATCTTACCTGATTTCCGAAAATGAATAGGTCATATGATTGGTTCTCATTCTAAATTGTTTAACTGTATGCTACTCTAGTGCTATCTAGCAGGAGTAATGCATCTTATGTGTTACGAAAGTTATTTTTGGTAGTTGGGATCGACTAAAGACAGTGAATAGAAATCTTGGCCGTTTAAAAAGTGTTAGTTTTCAGTGTATGACATAGACACTACAGTTAACATTTGACAATCGGCAATGGTTAAGCTCTCTCCGTGTAGTGTAGAGGTATAAAGTGGTTTTGTGATAAAAATATTTTAATTTGCTGAGCTCGGGTCGTCAGTGAGAATAAATGGCCTTCTTGTTCTAATAACAACTTAGCTATTATGAGTTTGGGTGAAATATGGTTTCCTCTCTCCAACATATTAATTATGTAGTAAAAGACAACGGTGTGGGATGTTATTTCCTACAGATACAATTCCAAACTATCCCCCTGAGTGTAAAACACAGAGTCTTAGCTTAGCCAAAGTCACAACAAGTGAACTACTTGGCCTGATAAACCTTAACTGCTTCTAAAAAACAGTGTACAAAGTAAACAGTTATTACATTCTATTGAACAGGGAAAACAGAGACATGAACAACATACCGAACAGTAACTAGATGGTTGGAAAAATGAGTCAACAAAACGAAAATTGTTTTATGATAAAAATAAAATTGTGATTAGTGAATAAGCAAGGTCGAGAGGAGTATATATGGTAGTAAGCGTTTCATCTTATCATTGATGATTTCGATTACGGATCACACGTTACAAACGGAAGAGACTAAAGTATGACGGCCTCCTGTGAAACTACCAGTGATATCAGTGATAGGGAACATGTCTACAACAACCTCTGGCTGTTTTATGATGACAGAGCTGAAACTTTTGGTGATAGAGTCATACTCTAAATATCTGAATCCGTCAGAGATCTAGAAATTTCGTCTTCCATAATAAGTCCTCAGGATGTTTTGTTTTTCAGCGTGGGTGGAATCCTTGTCTTTAGCCTTGTAGAGTATTTTATACATCACCCATAGTCTTGGCTGCTCTAAACAGTTCATTTTTTCAAGAGGTATGAAGAACCCTAAAAAATTAAGATTTTCTCAGATGCTATTGATTAGTGATTTCAACATTTAAAATTACTTCTAACAAGGCTATGGTTTTAAAGTGGTTTTTTACATTAGAGACTTGGTAGGATAATTCAGATTATTAGATGTTACTTGATGTACTCCATGAGGACCTGATGGACATGTATCGGGATTGTATCTTCGCCAGTTATGTATTGAAATTCACTGACCAACTAGTATTAAACTATTTGGATCATAGCAACAGAGTCATCCTACCATCCCTCCTCTCTGTAACCTACTTTCCGTGACCAATCCTAAGGCTTGCTCATAGCCGATTTTCGAGATGTCAGAGCAGATCTCAAAAGACTGACCTGGCAGAGGGAATAAGATTCTGTCGAAGGTGGTGGAAAATGAAATTGTCCGAAAGATATCTATGATAATTAGAAGTATTCGAATTATTGTCTTAGCTAAGGATTTCCAAAACAGTGCAAATTAAGGTAGGTCGGACCCAATGAGCGCTTCTGAACGTAATGTATTTAGAATTCGAAACCAAGAAGTCATCAAGTACTGTAGCGACTGAACAACCAATATTCGGTTGGAACGACGGACTGACGAACCCAAAATTTATTCGATTAGACTGGACCACGTTCCTCTGTATAGCTCACAACGCGTTTTTGAGATACTCGTGTTATACTGTGTCAAAACACAAACTCTGTGCTCAATATGAACGGTTCTCAAACGGTACAGCCTGTGCTATACAGTCAGAAGTTTCTCTAACGCAAAGTAGCGGGCTGAGAATCAGTTAAAATATTCACAACAAGATGGGATCAAAATATCCATCCGCAGGGATTCCAGCAATCCTCCCAAGCAGACGAGCAAGAGGTTAACAATCACACACTGAACCACGCCGTGACCTTGAGCTTAGTCAAACACGACCTTACTGTCAATGGTCCGGCAACATGGAATGATAAATTAGGCAACAAAAGATAAGTCTTTAATCAAAATCACATAATAAAGGCTCAAACGAAGAAGAGTGAAGAACAAAAGATAAGGTTAAACGAGATCGGAACAAAGGTCAAAATACACAACAGAGAGAAGGAACAAATAAGTGAAAATACTGTTCAACAAAGAAGCTACAGAGGGATTTTCATCGTTCTCTTCCCGTTACATTTACTTACTTACTTACGCCTGTTACTCCTCGTGAAGGAGCATAGGCCGCTCACCAGCATTCTCCATCCAACCCTGTCCTGGGCAATCCTTTCCAGCTCCTTCCAGTTGTAATTCATCCTTTTCATATCTGCTTCTATTATCCGACGTAATGTGTTCTTTGGCCTTCCTCTTTTCCGCTTCCCTTCAGGATTCCAAGTTAGGGCTTGTCTCGTGATACAGTTTGCCGATTTGCGTAATGTATGTCCTATCCATTTCCATCGTCTTCTCCTAATTTCCTCTTCAGCTGGAAGTTGGTTTGTTCTCTCCCACAGAAGGCTATTGCTGATGGTATCTGGCCAATGGATGTTGAGTATCTTGCGTAGACAGCTATTTATAAATACTTGTACTTTCTTGATTGTGGTTGTTGTAGTTCTCCAAGTTTCAGCTCCGTAGAGTAGAACTGCCTTGACGTTCGTATTGAAGATTCTTACTTTGATATTGGTTGAAAGTTGTTTTGAATTCCATATGTTCTTCAATTGTAGGAATGCGGCCCTTGCTTTGCCAATCCTCGCCTTTACGTCTGCATCTGAACCTCCTTGTCCATCGACGATGCTTCCCAGGTATGTGAAGGATTCTACATCTTCCAGAGTTTCGCCATCAAGAGTGATTGGATTGCTGTTCTCCGCTTTGAATTTAAGGACCTTCGTTTTCCCTTTGTGTATACTGAGGCCTACTGATGCAGAGACTGCTGCTACACTGGCTGTCTTCATCTGCATCTGTTCGTGTGTACGTGATAGGAGGGCTAGGTCGTCTGCGAAGTCCAAATCGTCTAATTGGTTCTGAGCTGTCCATTGTATTCCGTGTTTTCCTTCAGATGTTGAGGTCTTCATAATCCAGTCGACCACCAGAAGAAAGAGGAAGGGAGAGAGTAAACAGCCTTGTCTGACCCCGGTCCTTACTTGGAATGCATCTGTCAGCTGTCCTCCATGCACGACCTTGCACTGTAGTCCGTCGTATGAGTTCCGGATAATATTGACAATCTTCTCAGGAATTCCGTAGTGTCGAATAAGTTTCCATAATGTCCTCCTATCTACACTGTCAAATGCCTTTTCATAATCAATGAAGTTGATGTATAGTGACGAGTTCCACTCAACCGATTGTTCGACGATGATCCGTAGTGTTGCAATTTGGTCTGTGCACGACCGATCCTTACGGAATCCAGCTTGTTGATCTCGAAGTTGAGCGTCTACTGCATCCTTCATCCGGTTCAGCAAAACTCTGTTGAAGACCTTCCCTGGTATTGACAGTAATGTAATGCCTCTGTAGTTTTCACATTTGCTCAGATCTCCTTTCTTTGGAATCTTGACGAGGTGCCCTTCTTTCCAGTCCATTGGCACTTGTTCCTCCTCCCAAATCTTTTTGAATAGAGGGTAAAGCATGCTTGTGGTTGCATCGAGGTCTGATTTCAGTGCTTCAGCTGGTATGTTGTCGGGTCCTGCTGCTTTCCCCTTCTTGATTTGTCTGACGGCCATTCTAATTTCTTCTGTCGTTGGTGGATTAACATCTATAGGAAGATCTATGTGTGCTGCTTCGATGTCTGGTGGATTCATTGGAGCCGGCCTATTCAGGAGTTCCTCGAAGTATTCTACCCATCTGTTACGCTGTTGTTGGATTTCGGTGATTGGCTTGCCTTCCTTGTCTTTGACCGGCCTCTCTGGTTTATTGTATTTCCCTGCTAGTTTCTTCGTTGTATCGTAAAGTTGTCTCATATTTCCTTCTCTAGCAGCTTTTTCTGCCGTCGTTGCTAATTCTCCCACGTATTTCTTCTTGTCAGCTCTAATGCTCCTCTTCACTTGCTTGTTTGCTTCTATGTATTCAGCTTGTGCTTGGACTTTCTCTGCTCGTGTTCGGCTGTTGTTTATTGCTGCCTTCTTGTTCTTCCTTTCTTTGATCTTGTCCAGTGTTTCTGTAGAGATCCATTCCTTATGATGGTATTTCTTTAGACCGAGAACCTCTTGACACGTTGAAGTTAATGCTTCCTTGATGCTTTTCCAGTTGTCCTCCATAGTAGTTTCTTCTTCTTTCAGTAGATCTTGTAAGGCTTGGAACCTGTTGTTGAGAGCTATCTTGAATTCATTGAGTTTGACAGTATCTCGATGGAAGGCTGTATTGAACCTTTGTATTGCTGTTTGTCCACTTGTCCAGTTCTTTTTTAGCTTCAGTTTCAAATTGGCTACAACTAGGTGGTGATCTGAAGCTACGTCAGCTCCTCTCCTGGTTCTCACATCTTCCATTGTCCTTCGGAATTTTTTGTTGATGCAAATATGGTCTATCTGGTTCTCTGTAGTGTGGTCCGGTGAGATCCATGTAGCCTTGTGTATACGCTTGTGTGGAAATATTGTGCCTCCTATGACTAATTTGTTGAATGCACACAAATTTGCAAATCTTTCTCCATTTTCGTTCCTCTCTCCCAGTCCATGTTGCCCCATAATATCTTCATATCCGATGTTGTCTATTCCGACTTTGGCATTTAGATCT